CGGTGCATCCTTCTGACATAGCCTAGCAGTACTGTCCTACAGGTGTGCAGGGTACAGCCCTTGATATTACGGTTGACTTGAGTGTCCTGCCTTACTTGCTCTGCCTGTTTCCTGGGTCCTCACCGAGCGGGCATCCCCAATCGGTTGGCCCCAGTCGACTCCGACTGCATCAGTTGGAGAAGAGCTATAAGCAGAGGTTTGGTGCATCCCGGTCGAGACGCGGGTCAGAGCCAGAAGCGAGCGCCGTTCCTCCTCGGCCAGGCCTTCTGGTCGGAGAGGCGGGCTAAGTCGAAAGCGAGCGTCGTTCCTCCTCGGCTAGGCCTTCCATTGGAGAGATGGGCCGGAGTCGAAAGCGAGGCCTTCGGTCGGAGAGGCAGCCGGAGTCGGCGGCGTCGTTCCTCCTCGGCCGGAGAGGCGGCCGGAGTTGGAAGCAAGGCATTCCGGTCGGAGAGGCGGGCCCGTGTTGGAGGCGAGCGTCGTTCCTCTTTGGCCAGGCCTTCTAGTCGAGAGGCCGGCCAGAGTCGGAAGCGAGCGTCGTTCCTCCTTGGCCAGGCCTTCCGGTTGGAGACTGGATCACCCTTTTGGCCTATCGTTTAGGTATTTTGGGCTGGCTCTGGAGTTGCGCGTCGTTCGCAACGTCGTCTGTCGGGCCGAGCTTTTGCTGGAAAGCAGGTCCATGATGGACCCCGGGTTTATGAACCCGACACAAAGCACACTACATATTTTCAAAACCTTATATATTTGCACCTTGCCCGATTGTTTGCCAAGTTTATTTTCTGGCGACTGGGATGACTATTTCACTAAACCTGGTGCTAATATGCTCTAACATATTTTTGTTCCTCAGATTCCTATGTTTAAGATAATGGGTAGAATGGATGTTATGTCACGTTGGCTATTGTAAATCAGACAACTGAGTGCAAACAATCCTTGCATCGGCTTTCATCAACACAAGAAACTGGTACAAGTAATGGCAAAGACCATCCACCTATTGAGGACAAAAAGCTGCAGAAAACTTCCATGCAGGAACACAAAAGGTCCTAAGATACATATGGTTACATGCAACCTACATAGTTAAATGTTTGATTGGAACACTACAAAAGAATTACGAATGAATTCAATAGTTAAATTCCAACAAAGACCAGGTTCTGAGTAATTTAAACCTGCCCAGCACTGATACGTATCCTTCACTTAAAAATGGCAAGACAACATAATCAAGGGATCAAACTGGAACTATGCAATCTCTGTTAAAAAACTCACTATCTAACTATAGATATGCATCGAAGTCAAAAAAAACCCTTCCACGAATGCTAATAGGCCTACAGACAAAAATCAATGGAAGACACGTATTTAAAAGCAATGGAAAAGCATAAGTATAACCAAGCATATTGTCACCCTTTTAGATCATCATTGCAGATATAATCGATAACTAGCGTGCAAGATTGCAAACTAAATTTCAGCTACAATCGAGCCATTCAAGTACCAAAACGTCGAATATCTCAATCTCTCTTTTATCATTAATTAGTTCAGCGAATAGAACTTAAACAAGTCGAGTCAAATCGACCAAGAACACATATCGATCAATTACTTGTTCTTCCCAGACTTCTTCTTACCCCCTTGCCGGCCCGACACAGAAGCGCGGGTGGCGCTTCGGCCTCGGCGGCGTCGAGCCACTTGAGCGGGTTCTGGTTGAAGAAGGGCCGATTAGGGAAAGGTGACGAGCGCCGTGAAAGCACGCCGCCACAGCGTAGACGAAAGACATGAGCTAGAAGTCCGCGCGCACATAGCCCACCAGAACGCCGCCACCGCGAGACGCCACCAGCAGCGCCTTACGCATCAGATCTCCGCCGGCGCAGCCGCGGCCGGGATAAAGCGACGGACGCCACCGGATGGGCTGGCCCAGCCCCTGGATGATAGGCGCGGCGCGGTGGCCCCGGTGGGGAGGCCGCCTCTAGCGGAGCGCGCGGCGGCGGCGGCGAAGCGATCGGCGCGGCAGATCGGTCGCAACCATGACAGGATAGGGGCGCGGCGAACGACGCAGAGGCGCCGCCACCGCCGCGCCGGAGGCGTTAAGCGAGAAAAGAAAGGAAGAGAGGAAAATGAAAGGAAGGAAGAGATAAATGAAAAGGATCCACATGTAAGGCCGGCTCGGCGCCAGGATCTACGGCGTCAAACTCAACGCCAAGATCCACGGCCGAGCTGGCTGCCATGTCACCCTCGGCTCTACTTGGATGCCGACGTGGCCCCCCGACCTAGGCGCCAAACACTTTGGCGCCGAGATGTAAGCTCAACGCCACCGACGATGACGCCGAGCTAAGAGTCTAAATTTTGAAAACATTTCTCTAGGGACATATTTGTGATAAACTTTTAAAACAAAGGGCCAAAAAAAAAAAAAAAAAATCGGCCGGTCGACGGCGTGGCCGCCACAGGCTGGGGGCGGTGGATATGAGGCCAGCGTTGTTAGGGCGTGTTTGGATGGGAAGCTAGCTTTGTCTTGCTTTTAGCTGAGTCTAATCTTGCTCATTGAAGCCTCGAAGGGAGGGACAGTCTGGGTGGGCGGTGGGCAGCGCAGTTTACGGCGAGGTCAATGCAGGCTACGGCGGTGAATGAGGCCAGAGCGGTTATGGGCATGTTTGGATGTGAGCTAGTTTTAACTGATCTTGCTTAAGTGAGTCTAATCTTGCTCATTGAGGAGAGCCAATTTGGCTAGCTCACTTCAGCAACAAAAATCTTCCTTGCATATAAATCAAGGCAGCAAAGCAAGCAAACCAAAGTCAGAAAGTTGCAGCCGTAAACGAACAGGCCTAATTGTTTTCTTCAGACTGGGCAAGGCAAGATGAGATTTGGCTATAGAACCAAACATACGCTAAGTTCTCCATGCTCGACAGCAGTTATGGTTTCGAAAAGTCTTTATAGTTTACAACCTTAGAAGAGAAGGGGTTTGGAACAGTGTCCGGTCCAACGGTGGTGGTAGGTTGACAGGTGGCAGAGAACGAAGAAAGATGGGTGCATAAAGATATGAGACACTGAATTCAGAGGAGACAAAAAAGAAAATTGTGCGCCACTAAGCTCTTCCTACAAGCACTGGTTGGTTAAGAGGGTTAGATATTTATCTGTGGTTTCAGGCTATGTGCAGTTTCGACATCAGGATCATCAACTGGACGATGGAAATGGGTTAGGGCACTGGGATAGTGTCAGAAGGCAAACATGCAATAGGGGAGTGGGGATGGGAGGCGGAGAGCACCCTATCCGACGATTGACCATGGATGAAAAAGTTGGAGATAACTTAGAGACTATTTGATACATGTGACTAGTTATTAGTTTATACTAAAAATTAGTCTAAATTAACCGAGGTTGGCTAGCTTGGCGAGACCTTAGCTCAAAAACTAGCCCTTCTATTCAAATGTACTAAGGGCTATAACTCACTAACCATTAACCTTAGCATCAAACAGACCCTAAGAGAGGAAACTAAGCATCTGGATCGAACATGTACAACTAAAATCGCCAGTTTGGTAGCCTTGGCTGCTGGTCAATTTGAGGGACGGTTACCTGGGTTTATGTGCGGGGTTTCAAACTTCTCATGCGCAATCAAGGGCTTTGGTGAATTCAGATCACCATACGATGGACAGAAAATAATGGTCGTTACAATGATTATATATTTTGGTCGTTTCTAAGATATTTTTGGAATCTAAAAATCTACCGTGTTTTACTGGATTTTGTGTCTGTTTATTAAAATCTACTAGAATTTAGTCTGTTTAGATCAGATTCCAGGATTGTAAAATTTTCTTATCCACTAGAATCTACCTGATGAATCACCAAACACTAAGACAACAGGAGTGTCAATAACAACCGATCACAATTCCCAGGCCCAGAGCTTATCTCGCCGGCTAGCGGCCCACTGCTTCTGCTTCTGCACTGCTGCTCTCTGGCTATTTGGGAACTCTTTGGCGACAACGCAGCCCCTGCCCGGCTGCCCCACAACATGACAGAGAGTATAGTCCTACCCTCAGCCGGTGAGCGCCTCACCCAACACTTTTGAGCGCCTGTAGGCTGATGGCTGAACATCTAATCGGAGTCAATACGGGCATGGATTACAACACTCCAATTTCTGTTAGCCGACGACATACCTTGATGCATTCCTCCATTTATTCGTCATAGTTACGGTACAAACTTCCGCAATGGCCCAAGACTGTTCGCTTCACCGGTATTTTTCAGCAAATAATATTTTTTCTCTCATAATAAATTAGAATAACTATTAGAATCAATCAAATTTCAGCGAAACGAACGTGACCTCGTCTCCCAATGCTATTTCTGAAAAGCCTGAAGGCTTCTTTGCTCTTAACTCACCATTACCGATCCTATGCTCCTACAGCTTTGGCACTACAAAGCACTCATCTACGGTTTGTAAGCGTGGCGGATTTACTTTGACCTGCAGGTGCAGGCAAAATCATCTAGATTAGACGGTCTCCAACCGCCGTTACTTAAAATACAAGATTCATTTCACGTTTTGGTAGCGCTACAGGTAAATAATTTAATAATTATTTTTGTTTTTTCAACAACAAAACTCAAAAGAGAACATTTTATACAAATAGTTTTTCATGAGAGAGGATACTCAAGTTGGGTTATACCTCTCTCGACATCCAAAATGAATCTTCTATATAAGTCTTTTCGTGAAAAGGCTATAGGTTGTGTCGGAGAGATGTATCCGATGAGATCAAACTAGAGTCGGACACTGCCACGTAGCGCCATGTGGCCGCAAGACACCGCTTGGATTAGATCAAACTAGAGTCGGACAATTATTAGCTAGCGAGAGTTCAGTTAGCTCTAGAGCCAAGCGAAGCGAGCAAGCAGCAGGCAGGGTCTGCAGGGAAGGGGAAGGAGGTGGCGTCAGCACGCAACTTGAACGGACCCACCCATCGCGCCTCGTGACCCCTCACCGATCGAGGAGCCGGCGAGACTTGGGAACGAGCGACGGAAACCTAGGCGGAGGCAGGAGCTCCCCCATGGCGACCGGCAACCTGGCAAGCGTGGTGGTGGCGGTGGACGGCAGCGAGGAGAGCATGAACGCGCTGCGGTGGGCGCTCGACAACCTCCGGCTGCGCCCCGACGGCGAGCTCGCCGTGCTCCACGTCCAGCCGCCGCCCAACATCGCCGCGGGGCTCAACCCGGCGCCCATCCCCTTCGGCGGCCCCAGTAAGCGAACCAATCTCGTCTCGCCGGGCACGCGTGCTCGCTCGTTACCGACAGTAGCTCCTGTCCATCTGATCAATCGGCGTTGGTTGGTTGATCAGGCGGGGTCGAGGTGCCGGCGTTCACGCAGGCCATCGAGGCGCACCAGCGGCGCATCACGCAGGCGATCCTGGAGCACGCGCTGAAGATTTGCTCCGAGAAGAATGTAAGGAGGGGAAGCGAGGACCGATCTGTTCTTCAATTTCAGTCCTCGCCCCTTTTTCCGGTTTCACTGATTGGGGGATTGTTTCTCGATGAAGGTGGAGGTGAAGACTGAGGTGGTGGTCGGGGACCCCAAGGAGAAGATCTGCGAGGTGGCGGCCAACCGCAAGGCCGATCTGCTCGTCATGGGCTGCCGTGCCATTGGGCCGCTCCAGAGGTAGAAACAGAGATTCTGCCTTTCCCTTGTGCTTTGCTTAGCTAAAGTTACTGCTGATTTCGATGCTGTACTGCCTAACTGGGACAGACTCTGTGCCCGATCAGTATCATAACACATGACTTGTTTAGGAAGCGAGCCAGCTACTAGTAATTTTCTAAACTAGCTAGTACTCCATCAGAAAGCAACATTATCTTAATCTTAAGTATATAGTAGTAGATAGATGATGATGTGCACCTTTAAGCAACAACATTGAATAAAGAGCTGGCTGGACTACCTGCCAAGGGAAATGTTTGTGGGCATCAGCATCACAACAAGGATTAAAAAAGGTGCACTGAGCAGAGCTAAATCCTAACTTAAATTGCAACAGCACGCAAAATTTACATGAGTTGTAGCTTCCACTTCGAGACATGTCGCTGGTAAATTAGCAAAGTTTTACATATTTCAGAATCGTTGCTAATGACATAATGCTTAAATACACAATGTGAGCTGCAAGGAAGTTCTGGTTTTTAATCTGTTCTCTCATCAGTGGATGACAGTTTCAAACTGTTTTGACAAGTTCAGTTGCATAAAAAATGTTGCTATGCTTATGATCACTTGTTGATGTTGAAACATAATACTTCATTTGTTCAATTATGAATCCCTTGATATGTTTGTCATGATCAAAGAGGCAGTATTTGGGCTTAGCATTCTTCTGTGTATATCATGTACACATAACACCAAAGAAAGTTAAAACACCCTGCTCTGGTTTGTGCAGTGGCTCAGTTTTCTGCTAGGATGTCAGTGAACAGTCCTTTTTTGCTGCTGGAACTGTAGTCTGAGTGCTGCCAGCGTTCTGCAAAGTTTCGTTACAAGTTTGACAACCAGTTGAAAACCCTTTATGTCAGGTTTTTTTTTGACATCAGCCCTTTATGTCAATTATACAAGTGCCTGACAGTCATACCATTGCCTGTTTACAGTTGACATGTGCCTGATAGTCTGACTCTGCTCTTCTTCTGCTGTCCGATTTCTGTATCAAATCGAAGCCGCAATCTGAATATCTGATTAATCGATTCCTTTGTACAGGGTGTTCTTGGGCAGTGTGAGCAACTACTGTATCAACCATGTGGGCTGCCCTGTTGTTGTGATCAAGGGTACTTGAGATTCCCTCAGCCCAGCATTCTTTGGTGTACTTCCATTCATGGTTTTTGAGGTTTCTATTGTGCCATTTGTAATCCTGTACGATGTATTACTGCACAATGTGCATTTGTTGGTGCTGCTGAGGAATGAGGGTTGCTATGTGGTCTCTTTCATTGTAAAGGAAGAAGTTTTGTTGGTCGTGTAATCGTGGAAATAAGTCGGCCTTGTGGCAGTTTCTTCTGTATATTCTTGCAATTGTTGGAGACACATGGTTCTGTCTAAATTCTGAAGTCTGAACAGCGCAAAATTACCAGAGTCTCGGTTTCTTTGTCGGATTTCTTTTTTTTTAAGCTAATATGGCTGAACTTTGCCGATTTCCATGCGCACTGCCTACTGCGTATGCAATCGCTTAGCTCATTACTCGTGTGCTGCTGCTGCTGTCCCGGAAAGATGGAACAGCTTATCTAGCAGGCGAAGCACCGCCCGCCGCTGTTGGTTGCAGCTTGTTCAGTGTTCACATTCAACTCTGATCCTGACGGAGCATCTGCTCCAACCTTCGACGTTCGTGGGCCGTTGGGGTACCAGAGATGTCTGAAAGTAAGAGCTTCCTCCCCATCCCATGTTCTTGAATTCTCAGTTGCCGGTCTCAGGTGGCTGACTGCGTAGCACTCCTTCCTTCAGGGCAGCTGGTGATGACTGATGACCGATGATAGCTCAATTCTGGCATCACATATACATCGGCCTACGACGACATATCATGCTTGTTTTTGTCTGTAGTAGTTGCTCCATTATTTTCTCAGTATACCAATGAAAGGAGGGAGTCGCAAACGGTAAACCGCAACTTTAGAACACATGGGCGACCTAAAGCCCGACACAGAAGGACGCTCATTCATTGAAGAAACAGAAGCGACGTCAACTGCCTGAAACCTATTTGGACTCACGTATTAGCCTCGTCCACAATCTGCCTGGACAGAGTTCATGGCGATGCGCTAGAGTCAGTGAACGTCCTGGCGTTCCGTTGCTTCCAGATCATCCAGCCGGCAAGAAAGCCGCACGGAACGGGCTTTGGCACGTTCTTCCTCGAACGAACGTAGACACCACAGCATGACATCCGCCTCCTAGTCTGATAACAAAGCATCGAGTCATCGAGACCGAGACTACTCGAAAAAAAAAATCCAGACTTCTCGGCTAATAAAGACACAAAGCCAGCAGGAAGTGATCCATTGTCATTGTCTCTGGCGCCTGCCTGCACAGGAGTACACAATCATCCGAGTTCTGCAGCCCATGGCGACCGACCAACTAGAAGAACTTTAACTTGGGGTGGGTAGGCCCCTTGGCACAACCAGAAGAACTTTAACTCGTGTGGGTCGGACCTTTGGCACAATGTTCTGTACTGTATGTTCTTGTGATTGTTGGAGAATGGTGGCATTGGTGCTGTCTGAAGTCTGAACATCACAAAATTACTCGAAATATCATTTTCTTTGTCTGTAAAATTTACTATGGTTCCTCTAATGGAGGGTTGTTGGTGGAAAAAGAGGCTCCAAGCATACTCGGGCATTCTCCACAAACAGGCCCAAAGTAAAGGATCCAGCAGCTAGAACACGAAGACAGCTTTGAACGTCACAGATCAGCACAGATACATCATACATGAGATGAGAAACTTATTACCAAGCGAAGTCACGCAAACAACAACTCAAAAGAGAAGAAAACCCAGCAAGAACAAACCAGATGCTAAGAGGTACTACAAATCATAGCTTTACTAGACTGCAACTGATAAGAATATTCATGCTGGTGCACTGACTTTGTCAATGAGTACCGTGCATTCTCTTTGTATGCAGTCGGTTCAGCCCATAACTGATGTGTTGTTGCTGCTCTTGAGGGAAGCTGGAGCAGCTTTACTCCATAAAAGCGCCGCTGCAGGTAGCAGCCTTTTTCACATTCCAAAGAAGATGCAGAATCAACTCTTCTGATCCTGATGGAGCATCTGCACCAGCATTTTACGTTTGTACGCCGTTGGAGTCCCAGTGATGTCTGAAAGTAATAAGAGCTTCCTCGCCATGTTCTTGAATTCACCATTGGTAGTCTCAGCCGACTGACTGTAAAGCACCCCTTCCTTCAGGGGAGGAGGTGATGACAGCTCTGCTCTGGTGCCAGCATGGCTGTTGTCGTCGGCGGGGGCAATCTTCTTGACCCCAACAAAAGCCTCAGAGAACCGATGGATGTATATGACGCGGTAGTTCTGCGGCAAGCTGAACGAGCTCAGCGAGTCAATTGGGGCGGCAAGAATGCCTCCATGCTTGAGCACCCGATCGACGAAGGCGAACCTGTCAGCGTCTTCGCTGAAGTACCCGAAATCCAGCAGAAAGTCCACTGACGAGTCCCCTATCATCAGCATCCGCCGCAGCGAGAAGGGTCGCAGGACGCTGTCCTGGTCCTGCTTCGGGGCGGGCGGATCGCAGTCGCCGTCGGCGCCGAGGACGACGGCGCGGGCGCCGTGGACGAGCAGGCCCTCCTGGCGCAGGTCGCGGAGCAGGAGCTCCGCCTGGGCCGCGGCGCACGTGTCGACGGTGCGGCCTCGGGCGGGCGCCTCCGCAGTGCGGAGCCAGGGCAGAGAGAGCAGCGCTACGGCGAAGAGCACGGAGCGCGCGAGCACGCGGAGGGCGCGCGGGCCGGGGAGACGGATCACGACGCTGTCGGCCGGCATCGCGGACGCGTGGGTTGAGCTGAGCAGGAGCGCTGAGTCTTTTGCCGTCTGAGACGGCGGTGATGAGAAGAAGGCCGGCGCGGAAGGGGGTGAGGAAGCGAGCTTAGCGGGTGCAGAAGCGGGCGGCGGTGTGATTGCCACCCACGAGGGCGAGGCGGGAGTGCGGCGCGCGGAGCGTGAGGAGGATGAGCTCCCGGATCCGCTCGGTCTCCATGGAGGTGGATCTGTCCGGCTGGGTTGGGGGTAGGGGCGGCTCTGCTGCTAGGTCTCCATCGGCGGTGGCCGCCGGTGGGACGGTGGGTGCGGAATTGGGAGGTTCCGCGTGGGAATTGGGGACGAAGGACGGCGGCGAGCGGCTCTGCGCCGGGAGTTTATGCGGGCTGAACCGCTGGACTCTGAATGGTTTTGGAACGGTTTTCGTGGGGTACGGACGGTGGTGATGGGTGCCGTGGATGGTGGATTCTAGGCTTCTAGCCACGGGGCCGGATTTCTGGTTTGGTTGTTCGTCTCCTCCTGTTTTCGGTGGGTTTTTGGCCAAACTCCATATTGGATATTTGGATATGATCCCAATCTTCAAATAAAAGAACAAGTGGGCATGAAAATATCTTGCAATATCAAATAGTTAGTTCTTTTTTTCATAACTCCTATACTTTGTTTAGATTTTCTTCACAAGCAACATAGTCACTATATGTAAGGAAATTGGTTCTTCGTACTTCCCGCACGTATATTAACTTCGGGTTGTTAGCCTCATCATTATAGGTGATTATTGGTTTAGATGTTTTTCAATCTAATTTTGATGCGTTTGATCTTGCAGAATGTCAAACTTTTAGTATTGGTCGATGGATTCAGCACGGGAATTGACTATTTTTCCCATGTTGAATGGGCTCGATTTATCTAGAGCATAGGCTACATCCATGAAAACTTTGGGAAAAGAACATGATAGAAGGACCTAAATAAAAATTTTCTTTCTTCTTTTATCTTAGGCTGTGTTTAGTTCGCGAAATTTTGGAATTTGGCCACTGTAGCACTTTCGTTTTATTTGGCAATTATTGTTTAATCATGGACTAATTAGGCTTAAAATGTTCATCTCGCGATTTCCAACCAAACTGTGCAACTAGTTTTTTTTCGTCTACATTTAATGCTCCATGCACGTATCGTAAGATTCAATGTGATAGCTACTGTAGCACTTTTTGAGAAAGTTTTTGGGAACTAAACACAGCCTTTGGTTTTTATGTGTAGTTTTGGAACGTAATATGTCAAGTTTTAATATAATCGTTGTTCTCTTGAAAAAAAAACTATTTTTTATTAAAAGTGATAATTTTTTGTTGTTTCTATTTTATATATATATATCTATTAGTTTTGACCAAAATATCTTTGAGCAACAATTTTGAATATTTTATATAGACTAAGAACATAAGATTTATGTTTTTAGATTCATTATGAGAAATATTTTTGTTATAAATAGTTCAATTGCAGTTGATGGTTAAAGTTAAAAATGTTTAATCTATAATAAACTTAGGACATCTTTGGATCCACTAGCACTAAAATTTAGCAGCTAAAATTATTACTAGTGAATCCAAATCGATCTACTAATTATTAGCTCGGAGGCCATTAACTATTAGGGCTTGTTTGCCGCTTGTTTTTGCAGCCATCGGTGCTGCTGCAGCAACAGCCGCCTTTCATAGATTACTATGTTGACAACTAGCAGTAGCTCCTTTTACAGGTAGCCGAACAGCCCTTTAATTACATTAGCTGGTTTAAAGTTGCTAATAATTTATATATACTTTCGACTTACTATCTAACTATCTAGACGGTCTTTCTGTGCTAGTGGATCCAAACAACTCTTTAACATGTACTCCGTTTGTCATAAAATAAGTGTTGTTCTCATTTTTTTAGAAGTCAAACGCTTTTAGCTTTGACTAAATATATATAAAAAAGCATTAATATTTATTGTACATAATTAATAGCATTAGATAGATCTTCGAATCTATTTTCATAATAAACTTATTTCGAGATAAGAATGTTGCTAATATTCTCTACTAAACTAGTCAAATTTTTAAAGTTTAACCGGCACGGATACCATATCGACACTTTTTTTTAAGACAGAGAGTAATAAAAAAGTAAGAGAGTAATCATTTTGGTTCTTAAAAAATGTCCATCGGGTGGCAGAGGAAAAAAGACATTGCGCACCTTGCAGCAAAAAGTGATAAAAGATACCGCTGAAGCGGGACAAATATCGCCACGCTACCACTAGGCCACACAGCGACTCCCTGCAGGCTCCGGTCGCAATTCGCAACACAAACGCCGCCGCCCAAAGAGAGGAGACAGAAAACAGTCGGAGGAGAAGAGAAGGATGGGCTTCGAGAAGCAGATCCTGAGAGCCGGCACCGGCCCCAAGCCGGTAAAGGGCCAGAAGGTCACCGTCCACTGCACCGGCTACGGTTCGCTCCTTCCCTTCATCCCATAGATCTCTGATTTACTACGTTGTTCTTGGATCCGCATCACTTCAGGGTTTAGAGTTAGATGCTTTCAGATCCATTTCGTGTAGTAGCCTCGATGAATAAGCGGCGACTCTTGTTTTTCCCTCGGCTTTGATGCTGAAGATGCGATGTTCAGTCGTAGGATTGAGATCGATCTGATCCAGAGTTGCAAGCGAACCTTGTGCGCTGCATAATTCGCTTCTCTTTCTTTTGTATTATGACTCACACTATCTGATCTGCTGTAATTATTCGCTAACTTTTGCTTACTGCTATACTGGGTTTGTTTTCAGGGAAGGATCGTGATCTATCCAAGAAATTTTGGAGGTAAACTATCAATCTATTTTCTTGATTTACATCGAAGTGTAGCGCATCGGTGGAATAAGCACGTGTACACTGAAGTAGTTCTTTTCCTGTCAGTCACTGTGTTCTGTTGTTGTGTCTTTCAGCACCAAGGACCCTGGGCAGCAGCCATTCAGTTTCAACATTGGTCTGGGTTCAGTGATCAAAGGTAATCATGCCACAGATCATCAGTTCATGTAGAGACCTAAGAACTTTGCCTGTTAGTTATCTTCACGTGCATTACTTACTTTGCGATTTAGCAAGGGTTCCATTACCTGACCATTCTGATTGCTTCCAGTCCTGTATGTTATATTTGTCTATCAAACCTGTACTTTTGATGTTATTTATAAATGTAGCATGAACTTTACTTATCATGATGTTTTATTTCTGGTAGAGCTCCAAATTTGCATGGTTTGCTTTATATTCTCTTTTAGCCATGGTTGTAAATTGTCAGTCATGTTTTCCTTGACGAATTAACTCAGATGAAGCCTAGAGCATTTTAGATTTTCCCAAAAGTGAGCAGTCATTGTTCAGGGTCACTCCAGTTTCATGTTGCATGCCAAAACTTCACAGTCCTGCAAAATCATGGTCTATTAGCCAAATAAACCATTCCGATTACTGTTGTGCTAATTGCTGTGTTTCCTATAGGATGGGATGAGGGAGTTATGACCATGCAAGTGGGTGAAGTTGCTCGTATCCAGGTATGCTCCTTAGACGTAAACTAGTCTGTTTGTTTTGTTGATCAGCTAAATTAGTCTGAATGTGTTTGCCTTACTGATTCTTCTAGCATTTTATTACTACTGCAACTTTGAAGGCACTCTATCTCTAGATGGAAGTAACTTGTCCAAAAAGGCTTTGCTAGGGCTATGGATTTTTACCCTTCTGCAGTGCATTATCTTTACCTTGATAATCTGTTCTCTCTTTAGTTCATAATTCTTCATCTAAGCTTTGTCCTGGCACCTGATATTAGAGTGTTCTTGCTTCAGTGCACGCCTGATTATGCTTACGGAGCCAGCGGGTTCCAAGCCTGGGGAATTCAACCAAACTCAGTGCTGGCGTTCGAGATTGAAGTCCTCAGTGCCCAGTAATTGGCAGTGTAATAGCTGATGGAGCCATCGATCAGCTATGGAAACATTGGCCATGCCCACTGGAGTAATGAAATAATTCCGTTGTCACCTCATGCTACATACAGCAGATTGGTGTTCTGAGTGAAATCCTGTGAAACATTAGCACTCTGTAACCGTGATGTCAAGTTTATGGAGTTCCTTGTGTGGCGACTCAAGTAGTTCTCGTCAATGGTTATAATCCGATGGCTTCCGATGTGACAATCGTAGCCGGCCGCAATAAACTTGATGCAATTCTTGCAGTGGAATGCTGCGAATCTGTGATGGGCGGCGTGTTGCCAGTGTAAATGAAACGGTAGATGGCTCGGAGACTGTGTGGCGCTGACTGCTGCTGAGTATATGGACGCGCGAACCTGGCCGCCGGTCGTACCAAGAAACTAGTTTCGCCGTGTCCGGTGAGACAGACGCATACCGGCATACCGGTCCTCGCGCAGTGGTGTTTGGTGGGCAGGGGTGCCCCGTGCCCGTGATGGAAATTTGGCAGAGCCTATTCTAGTGATCGCGGAGGGGCGGAGTCGTGGTTGTACCGCGGGCTGCCGCGGCCGGAAAGATGATCATGTGGTCGTGCCCTGAACTGCCGGCTGCCGCAGCCGGAACCAGAAGAGATGATCATGTGGGCGTGTCGGCGTGGTGAATGGAGAGTTGGAGACGATAACAAAGGGGCATGCGTGAACTGTCTTGGCGTTTGTAATTAGGCTGAAGAACGAGGCATCCTATGCTTGCACCTTGATATGGGAGCGGGTTTTGCATGCGCTAGCCACGTCGGCGGTAAAATGTCTTAAGTGACACTGAGCTCGCAGCAAAAGCAGGAAAGATGAGCTACTCTATTTCAGTCGTTGGCCACATGAACCATCCATCCATTGTTTTCATACTTGAAAATGGAACAAGACGGTTTACATTGAAATCTAAAGACTTATATGCACTCTTTCCTCACTATAGCTATACAATACAGGGGCATCAATAACCATCAATTTTTTTGTGTCCTTGTCCATACCTTTCAAAGAATTCCTAAGAACAGTTAACATGTTCAAAAATAGAGCAACTGCTTAACCACAGTTAGCATCAATGAAGCTAACCTACAATGTTAATTGGATTACACTCTAAAGTGCAATCCAGTTTCCAAATGTAGACCCCATCCCACAGGCAATGGGTACATAGCCAGGTTATACCAACAATTTTTATGGTGTAACACAAGGCTAGCTTCTCAGATATCATTGAGCCTCCTCTAGACCTCATTGGTCTATTGCTTTCTTTTTCAAGATCCGGCTATCCGAGCACTTTGACCTTTTCTCTCCAAGATAAAAGCTGCATGCACTGATGCGCATGACTACTATGTACAGCTAAGCCTGATCATCAATAATAGAAACTAGAATTCTTCTGGCGGGGTGCATCTTTGCAGAGAATAGAGCGAACTTCCACGATAGATCTGGGTGGCTCTAGTTCCTTCGGTGGGACTGTATTACCTAGCAGCTGTTGCAGCTGGGTTGCAAAAGTATCATCCAAGACCTGCCGGATTAACAGGTTTTATTAAACTAGAGTAAGAGATGGGAAGCATCAAAAGAAAAGGCGAAGACATGGTCAATAAGTTCAAGGGGGACCGTGGGAACATGAACTTACTGAGATTGCGACTCGTGCACCTTTATACCAGGCTTTATTTTCTTTGCGATTCTCCAGGAAACTCAGCACATCCTAAATATTGATCAAATTAGTAACAGTAGTACGAAAAAAGGAAACCATCCCTACTCACTACTGATACTTCATATACCTGTCCCATCCGGTCCCAGAAACCTCGGCATATGGCTACAAAAACATGTACTTCAGAGACTTTGTGCACATGATTTATTGCCTCAATTAGCTGATCCTTCAAGGCCTGCATCCTGCTGCGGATATCAGATTCCATCACCAACTCTTTTGAATCCTGAATGATCTTTTTGAGCTTTGTGGTATTTTGCATACGGGTCTGCATAAAACCTTTGGTTAGAAAATTGTTCTTCACAACAAATGTACTTGTCTCTGTAAACTGCTACTAAGGCCTCTCCCATTCTATCCATAACTACATAGCAAGGGGTGCAACATAAAGTTGAATATGGAATCAGGACTTGGTTGGATAGAATAAAATTATAAAACCTGAAACACTACAGATTGATCATATAGATGAAATCGCCCCTACATAGAACATCAAAATTATAACACCGCCAGGATCAAATGAACATGAAGGCATTCATAATTCTGGTCTCACACTGGTAGATCCGAGGTGAAATGTAGCATATACATAGAAATTTATTAGGTAGAAGACCATTCTCTAAAAGAAAAGTACCCATAATGATAAATTTACATTAGAAACTAAATCCTGGTCTCTTGAAAGCAGATCCATGCCAGAACTTGCTGCATGGATAAAGATAAATCATTAAAGCAAATCTCGTTTTCAAGTATGCATGAAAAGTGACTTGGTTTTATGACATGGTAAGTTTGTGCCTAGTTTCAGCAAGATATCAGATATCAGTGTTCTGCGGACACCTAGGCGCTAGGCTATGGGGTCACACAGGGCCTAGGGGGGTAGGCGGAGCAGCGAGAAGGCGAGTGAGGCAACACGGAAGCGGACGAGCGCGCGCGGGCCACTTTTTTCGGGCGAAGCAGAAGCTCGCGCGGACGCAGGAAGCCTAAGCAGAGGTTATCATGTCATGGTTTATCTTTTATGATGCATTCATGTATTTCTTAAACTTATGAACTGCTGTGTGACTGTTTTTCTTATGTTGTGAGAACTATCTGTCTCTGAACTAGAGCTTTATTTATGAATTATAATAACTTGCCACATGTTGTGCTGTACTGCTGACCTGCTGTCCACTATACATATTTCCTTGCTGCTGATATGGTCTGATGGATGGGAGATGGCTGAGATCATTCAGATAAGTATCTAACTTGCTATTTTCTTTCTTTTAATGCACTATTGTCTATTGTAAAGCTGTTAATCCTGTCATTAAATTTTTCCCTCTGGTATTGTATTGCTGTAGGAACTAGGAACATAAATTTTGCATCAAGTCAAAGCCACTAAGGTATGTTATTGGTCCTCTCTTTTTATATAATATTTTCAGCTACTCTATTTATATAATTCATTCAGCTACACATGCTGTGTGCAAATTTGGCAACATGCCTAGATACTGCCTAGCACCTTTCCTAACCTTATCAGAGGGCAGACCCAGTGCCGGAGGCTCCCACATGAGTGGGGTCTGGGGAAGGGGAAAACCGAGGCAAGCCTTCCCCCCGCAAATTTGCGGAGAGGCTGCTTCGAACCCGCGACCTGGTCACTCAGTGAGACAGCTCTCACCACTGCACCAGGCCTGCCCTTCCCTAACCTTATCAGAGATTCACAAGAATTTGTAACCAGCTGAGATCAGGAACAAGTAACAGGATGTAAAAGGACACTCACATTCTCCGAAAGCTTCTCGACAACTGCTTGCATATAATTTCGGAATTTAGCTCTCAATGTCACTGTAACTTCACTAAGTTTTTCTCCAATGGCCGCAGAATTTCCTCCATTTGGTATACAAGAACTCCATGACTTCAAGTGACTCTCAATTCGAGGTCGCAAAACCTCTAGTAGTCTTTTCAATGTATTCAAGAGAATGCCAAGCTAAAAGCAGATAGGGGGTCAGATATTAATAATTGAAGTCCCAAGAAACGTAAAAATTAATACCAAAACTTACATCTTCAGGTACAGTATAGGGCACAGTTGAATTGCGCTTTGTGAGTTTCTGGACAACTTTGAGGCCGAATTTCTTTGGTGCAATACAATCCTTCAGTGGAGCCAAAACATCTGCATACTGTTTTTCCAGAGACTCTATAACCGCTTTCTCAACATCCGCAATGGCCTTTTGTTTCAAAGAATCAAAACGATACATGATACGTCAGACTTTGGGACTTCATTCTGATACAACTTAATGAATTAGAGAATCTCTAAAAGAAATAGAGTTTCTGACATACATTCTCAAGAACAAATATGTATTCTGGCCATCGGCAAATGATAACTTCATACTCTGTCAATGTCTTCTTTAGCAAATCATACATCTCATCCACAAAAGGTGTTGTCATATGCTGGGTCCTAACTCCTGACCATTTGACCTGAAAATTGGGAAATGTACCAAGGAATGAAATTGGAAAGAGTAGCATAATGAAAATCTGCAGCAAATAAAAAATTATCACCCCACCTTGTCCAGTCTGCAATTTTCCAGTAACATCCTGCGTTTGTCTTCAATCCACAATACAATGTACAAATGGAACAGCTCTTTTGCATCAACGCCTGCTTTTATAGTGCTGTGCGAAATTCAAACATAAGGCATGACAAAGACATGAATATACCAAGAGACTTGATTTAGATTTATTTACCAGTAAACAAAATTACCAGATATTCCAGCTAGACAGATCCTTCTGAAAATCAGCTGTAGCAACCACCAAATCAGCAACAGGTGATGCTGGACCAGCAGGAGGGCAAGCAACAAGAAAAGCACGTAGTCGATTTGAGAGCTCTACACTATAGATGGAGGCAGCTAAATTTGGCAGATCAACAAAGCTGTGGAAGCAAAAGGAAACAAAGAGAAGTGGAAATATGTCAAAAACCAAAGATCAGAAAGAAAGAACAAACAGATATATAACACAAAATGGATATTTCTCATAGACTGCAAAATGATCTGTGCTTAGAAGGTGTGTACAGGCTATGACATTAAAGCATATTGGTAACAAAGCTTGCATAAGATCATGTACCTGGGAAGTATGTGCTGATTATGAATTTCAATATCAGTAAAAATTTCATTGCGCAGATTGTTGCATAATGACTTCATCTTCTGGTAAGCCGTGGTAACAGTTACCAAGTCCACCCTGATACCTTCTGAATTTCCCGATACATACTCATCAGTTTCAAGCATGTAGCGCCTCGAGCGCTTCCTGGCAGCTGCCTGGACATGAATAAAAAACATAAAAACATTAGTTATAACTAAAGAACATAAGATACCATTTGTTTACCGAATAGTTGAATAATGACCTGGAAGTAACCACACAATCTTAGTTGAGCTTCCGGAGATAGGACGTCATGTAGAAGACTGTACAGCTTAATAGCTGGTTCCAGAGCAGCAGCAGCCAATCCAGTTGGAGGCCTAAAATCTTCCACCAAACCCAACAGTATAGAGTCATCTAGCGACTTGTAATTCTCAAAAACCATAGCTAGAGTTTGCTCAATTTGCTCCTCAACTTCCCCCAGTATTCGGTTCTGTGTGAAGAAATTTCAGTCAAGCAATAGTAGTGACATGTTTGTCACAGCAGCATTTTGGACAGATAAAAATACAGAATCAAAAAAGAAGAATTAATTTGTTTAACTAATTATAGTTTAATTTGGACAAACAATGTAGCATTGACATAAATCTAGGAAACATGTTGCCATGCCCGAAAACACAGTGTTCAGAAAACAATACATGTCTAATGGGAGAGAGAAATGTACCTCTTGGTGGCTCAAAGTAGCAGTACCATGGTTTTTCATTAGTATAGGTAACAAAAGTTCATGAACCAGATTGAGCCAATCAGCAGTAGGAGTTGCAACATCCATGATATAAGAGAGGTACCTATACAAGAATAGCAGTCAGCAATCCCACAGCACGAAAAAGAAGACAACAAGAAATGAAGAGGGGGTTACAGATTCAATACATTATTAAATCTAAACAACTAGCGCCGAACGGGGCATGCCCTCACATGTTGCTATATATCAAGTACAAGAGAACATATAATAAAATAATTGGCATGCATTGCAGAAGGACATTAGATTAAATAAATGATACCACAATCCGTAAGTTAAATTAAAAATCACAATTCACAATAATAAAGCAGTAAAAGGCTAGAAGGTAGAAAAGTCGGTAGCCCAGTGTGATAGGGAAGTACCTCAACCTCGTGTAGGCATCTGAAACCCCATAATACAATGCAAATTCTGTTAATAACCATTTCCAGGAGCCATGCACCACAAGGTTCCGTTGTTGAATGTGTTGCGCTTTCATTGCAACTTCCAAAACAATATCATACGCTACAGTTTCTGCAACAGAACCATACTACAGAGTACAGAGCAAAGAATGCCTATTAATATAGAGACAACCATTAACGTCCAACAAGTTAAAATAAATCATGCCTGTTAATATAGAGACAACCATTACTGTCCAACAAGTTAAAACAAATCAGTATTCCTTCAATCGATATATAGCGAAATTTTGAAAAAGGCTACCTTATTTTCTTGTATTCAAGACAACAAACTTTGTGTATTATCTAGGTCCATTATTCCTTGCTAAGAGAATACTTAAGAGTAATATGATTTCACATGGCAGATGCTCTTAGTATGTCAAATCAAAACTACAGACATTAGATAATTCACTAATATCATAACATGTTTGGCAAGTAACAAGCCCTTTTCTATAAATCAAAGATGAACTTGATATAGCCATGGTAAACTATCAGAAGCCAGAGATGAGCAGATACAGATAGTGCTATTCCCAGGTCAACAAGAATCAAAACAGCTTGTTTTCAACTACTGTGACATTTACATTTATAGTAAATTAACCACCGATTCAATGAACATAGTAGCAGAATGTGGGCTGCAGGTAGAGTTAAACGTGAACTAAGGACAAAGAAGTTACATAAGATCAATGTGTAACACATTCGTAGAGCTGAAGCATCTCTACCTTCATATTGTTCTCATCCGCAGCAGTTGTATAGTGGATATATAGCTGTATACGACCCACAAGTTCATGCTCAGGTTCCCGGAATATTGACCACCAGCGTAGCTTGTCAGCCTGCACAAAGAAATTAGAAATTTAGATTTTTTGGAGGAGCATTAGTTTTATTTAGGCATAAATGTTATACGATACATCGAGAAAAATGGTGTATGAACACCAAAAGCCCTTTTTTACACCCTAATGGGTATAGTATCTGAACATGTTTATGCACTACACACACAACCCCCCCCCACACACACATACTAATTCACGCTCCATGTACACACCCAGACCAACAAACTACACACATAGTAGTATACAAACATGTTTGCGTACTCGCACCAATCCCACACATACTCACACCACATGTACAAGCCCAGACCAACAAACTACACAGCATGAAGATCATGTCCCTCGTAAGATCGACAGGAGCATCCATGGCCCCATAGGTGATTGAGTACGGCACATTTCCATTGTGGCTTCACACGCAAGAGGCAACAATTTTTACTTAGGGAGCTAGACCTGGTAGGAATTCCTTTGTTGATCCAGGGACTAACAGATTCATAATAACAGAATCGATCAACTGGGCAATAGCTCAGGTACTAACAAGAATCTTTTTTGTTAAATAACTTCGACAAACAAGTAGCAAAATGGTTCATAAAATCTTACAGGATCCTCAGCCATTGTAGCAACTTGGGCAACAACACGACCACAGGACTTTCCCTTTGAATCAGACACATCGATGATCAAATCATCTCCCAGGCTATCAGGAAAGCTGAAATATGACATAAATAGTCAGGTTTGCTAAGATTAAGCTTTTTTTTCTTACAAAAGTAAGTTTGAACAAATATATAACAAACTGAGTGTAGTATTTAGAGCAAATGAATTAATGGTAATATAGCTATTATAAAATAAGATGTTATTTTAGGAACTTCTCTTGGACATACAAGACATGTGTTTCACCAGATCCTGGCTGCATAGGTACCACATCATCTTCAGGTGAACTTTTAAGCCTCAACTGGCAGGAGTATGTTTCTGAGGAAAGAAAAAATATATGAGACCAAGTCAAGAGGCTGAAGTCTATGGGAGAAATAAAGCATGTTAACCTTGTGGTGCTTCATATGCTGAACTGCTCCGCAGAGTAGTTACACCGACCTTTAACAGGCCGGATACCTGCTTGATATACTGAGCACTTGCTTGCATGTATGCTAAGCTGTGCTTTGAGAACGAACTGTTAGCAGGAAGCTGTGGTAGAACTCGAACTCTACGTACAGACTCCCATCCTGATGAAAGTGTGGATTGTACATTGGATAAACGGTACCGGACAGAATCCAATTTCACCATTGGCAGAGATGAAAAGTTGCAACCAGAAGGCATATCTACAGACATCCGAACTTTGCGAACTGCAAACAGAATAGTATTAAGTTAGGTTAATCCCTAAAGGCATTTTTTGTATTAGTCCAAACTGAGCACATGCAACAGTCCAACAACCAATAGGATGCACTAATTTCCTAGAGATCTTCATCAATAATAAACAGAAAATAGCAGCAGATACGGTATTCAAATGGAAAAGATGTAAGTGTTTTGTACCTTGAACCTTCATTTTGCCTATTGTTTTCTTGGGCTTTGATGCAGCCCCTTCGCTAACTAGCTCTGATGCGCGCTTCGACATAAGCTCCTCTTCCGATTGTAACAAGACATTTTGCAAGCTAAATGAAACATTCAAGAATGTCAAGGCTTACTCAAGTGTCACATCAAATAAAAGTGTGACAAAAGAAGATATGTAGAACAACCAGCATGAGCGATGAATAACTAATAAGCTTGTGAATGAAGTACACAAAAAAAGGCATATGTAGATTTATTTGGGGCCTTGCTAAAATTTGCTATTCTTAAGATCATTGCACTATGTTGTTTCAAAATGCATATGTAGATTTATGTAGATATTCAAAGAAACTACTTTGAATGATTTAATATCTTATGTTCTTTACAATATCCAATAGTAACCGTCGGTTACATTTTTCAAATTTAACCAACTAACTTAATTTTAGAGATGTATTTTGCTTACAGAATAGATTTAAACTAAGAAGGGCAGGCCTGGTGCAGTGGTGAGAGTTGTCTCACTGAGTCACCAGGTCGTGGGTTCGAAGCAGCCTCTCCGCAGATTTTGTGGGGGAAAGGCTTGTCTCGGTTTATCCCTTCCCCAGACCCCACTCATGTGGGAGCCTCCGGCACTGGGTCTGCCCTTTAATAGATTTAAACTAACTAATGCATTGTTATCAAAAGAATTAGTGAAGGAAGTCAGAAGACATCCCCATGCACACTGAGAAAAAAGTCACACCAGGGGACTACCAAGACAGCCAGTGTATGGAGGATCATGCAAGCCGATTTTGATAGCCATGGTTATATAGCACACAGGACAGGTAGGATTTACACACCTACCGATTTTTGGTATAGTTGACCTTGAACAAAAACACACGATGTGCCTCAACAGTCAATATCATTTCATGGTGAATTAATGAAAAGAAAATCCCATATCATAGTGGACAGCAGCAGCTATAACCAAGAAGAATAATAGAATAGACATGTTCCTACATTGCACAATTGCGGGTTTTTTTAGGTGCTGCCACCTGACCCTATAAATGCAAAACACAAAGTAATGGCTATCCTCAGTTCCTCATCACAGACAGAACTGACAGTTGCTAGAGGCAGCGAGCATGGTGCAGATACAATATCTAGTGCAGTCCTTATAGTTTGGTTTTAGTGACCTATCTTCAATTATGTGCAAGAGTTAACTTACCTGAATGTATTTCTCAAGAGCGTGCATTCATTTTCCAGAAAAACAGGAGCTTCCATACAGCCTCTAGCCCATGCATGAAGGCAAAGGCGGACGCAAGCATCATAAGCAAGTACAGAATACCAGGGCCCTTGCAGACTGTAAAATGTTTCAAGAAATGTGTTTAGAAGTGATTATAGACCACTGCTGTCACTTAAACTTGTTTAATAATCAAAAAAATACCTGGCATGAAAGGTTGGGACTCGAACAGGAATCGAGCTAGATGGCTTGCTTGTGGGTCCTGCATTCGAAGTGCTCCTACATAGCAGGAAAAAATAACCAGAAGGATGGATAAGCAAAATGAAACATTTCATTTCATTAAATAAAAATGTTATGTTAAGACATCTTATAGAGGCTACCTGTCATTTTTGTCAGCTAAGTTAGCTCCTCCATTGACTTCTTGGTGATCTTTTTTGGCAGATAAGCCATTGGTGAAATTTGAATTGTCACAAGGCCGAGTATCATCATGAGTAACCGGATGATGGTCCTGGTCATAATCATTTATTGGCGGTGCGCTGGGAACATCAGACAACCCATTCTGTACATAAAACAAATCATCAAACTTGAACATCTTTAAGAAAGTCACACCAAGAAACTAGTGCAATCACCACATAGGACCATGTAAGAACTAAGAACCATTCAGTGCTATAACTGCAAGTTCATTTTCTAGGATGATGAATAATGTCATTGCTGAAAGAGAGAGCAAAAAAAAATTCAAAAAAAAAGCAAGAAACATGACAATATAACCTGCTATTTTAATGATCTTACAAAAATGATTTAGCTGTTTTCTTTAGAGGACATCAGAATCCAGTAAGAAATGTCAAGAATCAAGGTATGTTCCAGAGGCATCCAAAATTTTAATAGCAACTTTGGGTTTTATAGTACACATTGACTAGAACCAGAGAAATAGCCATTTCAGTCAGTTGAGACTTAGTGCTTATGCTACTTAAACATTCCATATCAATAAATGAAAAAAAGGAAGAACTCGATTCCTTCTGGATCATTCAGAGGCAAATTTCCTCCATGAATCATCGAGACCATTATCCTAGTAAACTAAATGCATAAGTGTGTTATCCTTCAGCAGAATCAGGAGTGGCTTACATGAACATGGGAATGGGAATGGGATTACTCCAATATAGACATTTAGCCATGGAACCCAAGATAACTCACTGAACCAGTCATGTTTGCAGAAAATTGTGTCCGAAGAATCGATTGATCAATTATAACTAGAATATTTGTCAAACCATTTCAAAGTTAAAACACATACTGTCTCAGATCCATGTAAATAACTATTACTTTGAACATTTGGGCTTCAAAAATATTTCTGGGTAAATATGAAAAATTTATCGACAACTATGTGATGCTTTCACAATTATCATATTCAAACAGGAATATTATTCGTTGAGCATAATTTTATACTTACCATATTCCCACACATTTAAATGCAACCCCAACTTGAAACAAAATGGAACTTACAGATGGTGCTATCACATAGAAAAAGAGGGGGGTAGATGAATGGAAATTCTTTGTAAATAAACAAAGAAAACTAACCAATTTACGTGTTGATTTCACATCCTCTCGAGTGGGGACATGAGCAGAATGGCTGTCATGTTGGTATCGCATCCTCTCTGCAGCTGCTGCACGATTCTTAGGAACCAAATTGTTCACTTCTCTTCGGGCTGGACCAGTATGGGAGTACTCTGATGCATACCCACCCTTGGAGGTCACACCATTGCTCTGCCCTTCCACCTGGCTAGAAAATTCGGAGGTGCCTGGAGAGTCCGAGTACTCCTCATCAGCATACTCAACAACCCGTGCCTGGGGCCGCCCCATCGGCTGTGCGTTAGCTCTTGGCAGTGCTGTGTCTCGAGAAGAGCTTAAGTCCGAGTAACCATCATCAGTAGAGTAGTAGTTCTGCTGCCCAGGCATGGTGGCGTAGCGGTAGAGGGGCACGGCCGTGCGTCGGGCCACGTCGTCGCGGCGGGGTGACGAGTCGACCGAGTGACTGCCGCTGCAGACCTCAATCTCATCGTTGTCCGACGACTCGTCCATGTCGGATCCCGAGGCGGCGTTGCCGTCGTCGCTGCGCAGCGAGGAGCGTGACAGCGGCACCGTCGCGCCGCGCGGCATGTGGCCGCTCCGGAACTTCTCCGGCGTCGGCATGCCAAGCCCGCCGCGGCCGGCCGCGCCGCGCACGGCACGGAGCGCGTCCATCCGGTCGTGGCTATGCAGCGCCGCCGCTCCCTGGCCCTGCAGACGCATTCCACCAACAAACACCACCATGGACAGAAAAAAACACGCATCAGAGAACGGGAACCCGAGGCCGCAGCAGCTAAAACCAGCTAGGGTTCGGCGGCGCCGCGAGCTCGCTCACCTCTCGCACCCACTTGAGGGCGTCGCGATCTAGCCCATCCGTGAACATGGCGAGCGCATGCGGGTTCCGACTGAAACGGACGAACAAATCTAGCAAAAATCAGAAAAAACCCGAACCAGCCGCACCAAATGCGGGTGATCTCCACACCCGAAAAATCGTCGGAAAAATTCTCACATCCGCAGATTTGAACACAGGAGGAATTCAGGGGGAATGGGAGCCGAATCGTGCAGGGGAAAATGCTTACCTTGGAGCCGAGTCGACGCGCGGATTCGTCGCTGGGAGTGACGCGAGCGCCCGGATTTGAATTTCTTCGGACGAACGTCGGGACGAACTCTGCGAGCAGCGCGGTGGGCGACAGCGACGGGAGCGTGGAGCGCAACGGAGTGTATGGGAGTGGGCGACGGGGGAAGGGGGAGCCGAGCAGGAAGAAGAAAGGGACAAGACGAGTTTATTTATTAGCTCATGGCCGTACTAGAAAAATTACTAAACCCCCACTGCCTTCGAATAAACAGGAAAGGGACGGACGAATTTGCAGTTAAGCCCTCTGTTGGAAGAAAACGACTAAACGAGGTTAAGCCCTTCACTAGAAAAAATAATAGAAGCATATCATCGGCGTAAAAGGAAACAGTTGATTCGAGAATAACGTTGCCGATTTACCACGCAGCTTTTTAAGGCCCCGATCGGCAGGGCTTCACTTTAACAGTGAAGTCATTTTTTTTACTCTATGAACAGTTTCTATCGGGGAATGAAATGGTTTTTTTCAAACGGCGTAGTAAACCGTTTGACAAAATGGCTTACAGTGCATGTGAGAAAGACGCTTTTAGGGCCTGAGGAGGAACCGAAAAAGCCACTTTTTTTTTTTTTGCTCCATCCCACCCCATATCAACGCGAGAAGATGTGTTTTTAGAGCTTCGTAAGTGAAGTTTATTTTACTTTACGCTATTTAATAAAAAAAGTGCGACGCACCCAACGGCAGCTCTAAAACCGGTGGAAAAGCCCTTCCAAACGAGGCCTTACTATCTTTTGTTATTACACGGTGCACGGGTGCAGTAACCGTCCTTAAGTTATGCAAGCAAGACCAGGAGGGGTTATGCAAAAAACGCCCCAACGATAGCTGGCCCATTCTCTTTTGGCCGTCCGTTTCTTTTCTTTCCGTTACATAAGCCTTCCCCCGTAAACCACAACGGGAGAGTGGCTTGGACTCAGCTGCGTTCACCGACCGAGCGGAGCAGCGTTGACGACGTCAGGGCGCGCGCGGCAACGTCGCGGGACGGGGGGCCCTCCCGTAACGGTCGAAACGTTAGTGGTGGCCGGGACGTCGTGGGCTCGTGGCGGTGGAGCGCAAGCGCAAGCGCCGCTCCGTGGAGTGGCCCAGTGGAGTGGGGGGGGTGTCAGGTGTGGACTATGGAGTGTGGACCGGCCGGTGGGAACGCTCGCCTCCCCGGCCCCGCTTCCCCTCCCGCATCGCACGCTGCTCCGTTCGATTCGGCAGGGCTAGTACGCGTGGCGGGCATCGAGGACGGTACAGCGCGTGGGCCTCCTGTGTTCGGTGTCTGGGGCGGCGCATGGGGAGCCGTGGGGAGGGGTCAAAAGGCTGCGGGGCCCGCGTGTCGGTATCTTTTTCAAACGGCGTGGTCGAAGGAGTCATGACCCTATGCTTATCACGTGGTCTAAAGACGGTTTTGGCCCTGGTGCTTCGCAGGAATTGCAGCGTGCGGGGAGCGGTCCTGCCACTGACAGTGCGTCGCTTCCATTCCAGGCTCCAGCTCGCTTTTCTTGCAGGAATGGCGCACATGTGGGGCCGGGATGATGTGCAGAAGTGCTTTGCCAATTCCCATCACACAATCCGGAATCAGTTATTCTGTAATCGACTACTATTATTTTTATATATTATTCGTCAATCCCACTTCAATTACCTAAAAAATGAGGGATATTTTCTTGCTAGGATTCTAGACATGCAGATAATATAGAATACAAAAAATGCATTGATCATTACATGGAATTCTATTACGATTACCGTACCGTGCATTTGTCATTAGTAACTTTAATAAACATCAGACCTTTCTATAGATAGCAAAAACACAGGTACATTAACTGCAGAGGATTTCAGTAGAACGATTGTCAAGCTGTTAGCATATCCCTATCTCCATGAGCCTTCCTTCTTTCATACGGTGACTGCAAATAAACACGCAGAGTTATCCCCAGTGTCATCTTTGGTTGAATCTTCCACGTTTTTTTTCCGCTTGTCATTGTGTGAGCCACGGAGCGGGCTAGCCTTTTTTGCTTGAGTGCGACGCCGGTTTGGTCGGATTAGACGAGAAACGGTGCGGTCATCCGGTGGGTGGTGCTGGCACGGCGCATGCCATGCGTGTCGTCTCTCCCGTACTCGACGCTCACGTAAAGGATGCGCCCCGTGGAGCTCTCCTCCGGCTCCGAGGGGCAAAGCTGGCAGTAGAACGCCTGTACCTGTGACCTGCTGCTGAGTACTGAGGCCTTGTTTACATGAGTGTTAGGAATTAGAATTTGGTACCGTAGCATTTTCGTTTATATTTAATAATTATTGTCCAATCATGACCTAACTAGGTTTAAAAGATTCGTCTCGTAATTTACAATCAAACTGTGTAATTAATTATTTTTTTTATCTACATTTAATACTCTATACATATATCCAAAGATTTGATGTGATAGAGAGAGAGTGAAAAAACTTGGAATCTAAACAAGGCCTTGTTTAGATTGCATCAAAATTCTAAGTTTTTTCACTCTCTCTTCATCACATCAATTTTTGGACGCATGCATGGAGCATTAAATGTAGGTAAAAAAATAACTAATTACACAGTTTGGTTGTAAATCACGAGACGAATCTTTTGAGCCTAGTTAGTCCATGATCGGACAAAGTTTGTCAAATACAAACGAAATGTGGTACAGTGTCCAGATTGCAAAAATTTACAACCTAAACAAGGCCCAAGCCTGAGTGTTTTACTGTTTTCCCTTGACCGACCTCGGTCACTGCGCGGTGTGAAAACTGCACGTGCATGTGAAGCAATTTCGCCGCGAGATCTTTTGCTTCCTTCAGCACTACGGAATGTCAGGCTGGGGACAGACGGACGGACCAATCGCGGACGGACCTGCATCGGATTGGATTCCCCTTCTCCTTCTCCCTTTGTCGATGCCTCTGACGGAACCGCGGTCGTCTCTGCACTGTTGTTGTTTAGCGCGTGTTTAGTTGTAGAAACTCGAAATTTGGGGCTATCGTAGCACGTTCGTTTTTATTTGGTAATTAGTGTTCAAACATGGATTAATTATGCTCAAAACGTTCGTCTCGTAATTTTCCACCAAACTACGCAATTAGTTTTTTTTCGTCTACATTTAATGCTTCATGCATAGGCCGCAAACATTCGATGTGACAGTTACTGTAGCAACTTTTTAGAATTTAGGGTCTAACTAAACACGCGCTTAGTAGTAGTAGTAGCAAGTGGAGTGGGGTGGGGTGGGGGGGGGTTTGCAAAGCAGAGCTGGCATCCAGATTACACGGCAGGTTCCGTGGATGATGGGGCCTTCCATCCGAAATTCCGAATGCGGGCAGCGATTGCTTATCATCCCGGTGGGCGTGGCCACTTTACACGCGAGGGAAAGCTGATGTTCAGGAACTGATTTCTAGTTTAGAGCCTTTTTTTGCCGTGTTATTATAGTACTACTAGTCCTAGTACGTAATATTTTAGTTGAGTGCACGGTTGTGCGAGGCGAGCGTAGCGCTAACACAACTTTAATTCGAAGTTTCAAACTGGGTTGGTCGAGCGCGATCCAGTGTTGACACACTGCAGTAGACTAATCATCCCGAACAAGCCACGTTCATGCATGTTTTTTTTTTTCTTCTCTCTGTCGACTCCGCTGCAACTGAAGAGATTAGCCAAGCAAGTTCGGTTGGCTAATGGTCCGGCCCTCAGAGGTATGTCAGCCTACCAGGCCCAAAACTCTTCAAATACAGAAGGCCCAGCCAAGCAGTTGTCGCTGGGCTCGGCCTAAGAAAAGTCCCTGGTCAGGCCGCGTCGGTCGTGTCAAGTCGCTCCGGAAAAAAGTCCGCATTACCGCTCTTAATTTTCACGAAAGTCCACTTTTTCTTTCTGAACTCTAAAGCCGAGCAAAACAACCTCCTCAACTTTTAAAATCGTTCATCTTACCTCCTAGCCCAGTTATAAGCGGTTTTGAAGGCAGTTTTGTTTTTCCTTTTTATTTATTTCGGCTGAATCTTTAAAAATCATAGTAATTCATAGAAAAAATCATAAAATGGAAAATCTAATTTTGTTGGACTTCATATAAGTAGATCTACACTATGAACATATAATATATAATATGGTATAATTTAGTATAAAGTTTTTGCTGTAGCTTTAGATCTATGTTTTTTTAATTAAATAGAATAATTCATAGCTGCAGTTTCTATGGTCCAACTGTGGTAAAATTTTTATGATGGGTTAATTATTTGTATGCTTAAACTGTAATAAAATTTTCATACTTATTGGATCATGTATAACTTAGTTATATATTTTATTTAGGTTTATGCTGGTTCAATATAAATAAATCTATAACTAAATTATACATGATCCAATGAGTATGAATTTTTTACTACACTTCAATCATACAATAATTAGTCTACCATAAAAAATTTATCACAATTGAACCATAGAATCTGCAACTATGAATTATTCTAATTAATTATAAAAAAATATAGATCTAAAGTCACAGCAAAAACTTTGTACTAAAGCATACAATATTATATGTTCACTGTGTAGATCTACTCATGTGGAGTCCAACAAATTTGAATTTTCTATTTTATAATTTTTCTGTGATTTACTATGATTTTTTAAAATTTTAGTCAAAATAAATAAATAAGATAAGATAAAATTGTCTTCAAAACTGTTTATAAGATATTTTGATCGGGTTTTAGAGTCTAGGGAGGAACGGATTTTCACGAAAATTATGGTAGGAACGTGGACTTTTTTTTTCGTTTGCTCCGGTCCCTGGATGAAACAAAACAGAGTTGCGGGGGAAAA